GAAAACTGGTCCCTAGTGGAATGACAACAACATGGCTTGTTAAAGAAAATAGGAAGAGGAAGAAAGAGAGCAACAAAGAAACTTAACATGGATACATTCAGAAACTTCTCAACTACAGTAATTACATACTTGGCACACGAACCGCCGCCCGCTTTGAGTAAGAAACAGATCGCCTCTGACCACTCCCCACGTTTTACAGTAGGAATATTATTCCAATATTCGCTTTTGAAAGCGTTAAAGTTTCAGCGGGAAAAAGTCTGTTGAAATAAAGAACATTGCTTTAGTTAATCCTGAGGGAGCAGCCTGAATGTTCTCCTTTGATTTACAACAGGGTGTGAGCTGTTAATCACCACTAGTCCTTCCTTCCCCCCACTGCGGGTGAGAGGGGATCTGACTGAAGTTATTGACATTGAACCTTACCTGGCCTATTTGGATTCTCGTGGAGAGTCATGAAGTTTGTGTGTGTATATATATATAAATGCTCAAAAGTTTCCTGTGTGTATCCAGAATGGTCCACCACATCTCTTGATACATGTGGGAAGTGTTGGAGTCAAAATGGGCCAGAATCCCTGTGGAACACTTTTGACCATGCCCCGACAAATTGAGGCACAAAGGTCGAGAGACAAATGTGAGGTGACAGACAATACAGCCTTGCACACTCTTGCCTGCATCTAGCTGAAATAGTGTGTAATCATTAGTCCAACAGTTGCAAACAAGAGTTTCTATTGGACAAATTCAGGTATGTTTATACCCATTTTGTTCCGTTTGCTTCCGTATAAGAAATGTTTTTCAACAGAATCGGCGGAATGAATACACCCCTGATCACTCGTAAACACAGTTCACTTTCATAGCAGCCACGTTGTATTCATTCTCGCATCTATGCGCTCTCCTCTCACCTCTTCCATTTGCTGGTGGACTTCAATGCAAAACACATCATCTGTATGTGACCAGGCGAAAAAATATTTCCAAGCCAAAACGCTACACACAGCCTACATCGTTGTCACCATATTAGCTAAAGTAACGTCATAGTCAGCATAGCTAATAGAACTAATGCATTAGTAAACCCGCTACAATCATGCAGTAACGTTACAGTGTACAGTAAGTAAGCTGTTACACTGGCGGGCCCCGGTGGCAAGAAATTTGTAAAACCAAAAGCTTGCCTTGACTTGAAAGAGTTCCAGTGTTAGTTGTAAATTCATAGCCAGCTAGCTAACATAGCATGTCTCTGTTTGAGCAGGGTATTTCAGTAGCTGCATATGCTAGCTAAGTAAGTAAAACTGAAAGTGATTCTCTTTCATTTTGGAATAAATTAATTTGTTCAAAACTGTTCAACTACTCTTTCTCTTTGAGTCAACTACTCACCACATTTTACGCACTGCAGTACTAGCTAGCTGTAGCTTATGCTTTCAGTACTAGATTCATTCTCTGATCATTTGACTGGGTGGACAACATGTCAGTTCATGCTGCAAGAGCTCTGATTTGATTGAGGCTACTGTAGACCTTCATTGCAAAACAGTATGTTTTAATCAATTATTTGGTGACGTGATTATATTTAGCACAGTTTTATCTAAAAAGGATCACTTTTAAAATGTTTTACAATTGTATTTTTAATGAAATTAGTCCTCCCCTTCCTCTTCTGAGGAGCCTCCACTGCTTTGTACATAGGACAGCAGCATCTAAGGTGCAGGGTAGAGTACCGGGTGATTGCCGGCCAGTAACAGTGACTAAGTTTCAGGGCAGGGTACTGGACATATTCAATATCTCCCTATCCCAGTCTGTTGTCCCCACTTGCTTCAAGATGTCCACAATTGATCCAGTACCCTAGAAAACAAAGGTAACTGAACTAATCAGAGGGCTGATATAAATACTATGCATGCCAAGTCTCTCTTGGCTAAGAGTTGAGGAGAGACTGACTGCATCACCTCTTCTTTTTATAAGAAACATTAATGTGTTGAAAATCCCAAATTGTTTGCATAGTCAATTTAAACACAGCTCTGACACACACACTTACCCCACCTGATAAGCCACCAGGGGTCTTTTCACAGTCCCCAAATCCAGAACAAATTCAAGAGAGCGAACAGTATTATAATGAGCCATTATTGCATGGAACCGTTCCATCTCATATTGCTCAAATAAACAGCAAACCTGGTTTCAAACAACAGATAAATCAACACCTCACGGCACAACTCCTCTCCCCTACTTGACCTAGATAGTTTGTGTGTATGTATTTATATGTAGGCTATGTGTGCCTTTTGAAAAAAAATTATGTAGTTCTGTCCTTGAGCTGTTCTTGTCTATTAATGTTCTGTATTATGTCATGTTTCATGTTTTGTGTGGACCCCAGGAAGAGTAGCTGCTGTTTTTGCAACAGCTAATGGGGATCCTAATAAAATGACTATTGCCCAATAGTACTCAGTTCTGTCATCATGAAGTACTTTGAGAGGATCATATCACCTCCACCTTACCCGACACCTTAGACCAGGGCTCTCAACTCTGTTCCTGGAGAGCTACTGTCCTGTAGGTTTTAACTCCAACCCTAATATAGCGCACCTGATTCTAATAATTATCTAGTTGATAAGCTGAATCAGGTTAGTTACAACTGGGGTTGGATTGAAAACCTACAGGATGGTAGCTCTCCAGGAACAGGGTTGGAGAGCCCTGCCCTAGACCCACTACAATTTGCATACCGCCCCAACAGATCCACGGATGACGAAATCGGCATCGCACTGCACACTGCCCTATCCCGTTTGGACAAGAGGAATACCTATGTAAGAATGCAGTTCATCGACTACAACTCAGCCTTCAACGTCATAGTGCCCTCCAATGTCCTCACTAAGCTCGGGGCCCTGGGTCTGAACCCCATGGGGGGCCAGTATGAAAAATGTATGCACTCACTAATTGGAAGTCGTTCTGGATAAGATCGTCTGCTAAATTACTAAAATGTAAAATAACTTCTACAGATGCACAATTGAGAGCATCCTGTAGGGCTGTAACACCGCCTGGTATGGAAATTGTAACCACAGGGCTCTCCAGATGGTGGTGAGGTGAGGAAGAGGACACCCAGCCACCAGAAGTATACTTCATGGGGATCTAACCATAGAGAATGATAGATACAGTATATCATCTAGTATGTGTCTCATTATGGAGTCTGTGAGCGCACGGGCAGCTCCATTCAAAGCAAATCAAATCAAATTTGAGGCAATATTGAGTCAATATGCATTTAAAAGTAGTCCATTTTCTTCTTCTACTATTTCTATGAGTTGGCAAACAAACTAAAAGGTGCACACTGCCACATAGTGTTGTTTGAAAAGGTACAAAATCAAAGTTGGAGATTTTCTGCCACCTACAGTCATGCAATGTTTGCTCACGAGTATAATTCATTGGCTGATCCCTCCTGATGACCCGGATGGAATAATGGGGCGCGTTCAGCAGGACGCAACGTTTTGGAAGGTTCAGATAGAAATATGCTATGGTGAACAAACATGTCTCTCCGACATAATAATAATAATAATAATAATAATAATAATAATAATAATAAGGAAATACGTTGGCTCTATTCATGAAAGGTATATCGGCAACGCTCGAGAAGGTTTTGCAACTGAACGTGGCCCATGTGATTCTTCCTTAACCAGGAAGCCCCACCCAGATGACTACTTTAAATTGGTGGAAGCCCTCAATGGCAATGTTCATGCCAAAATGGATTTTAGCCATCTAGAGTCCTCTATATAACTCTATGAGACTGACACAAAAGCCAGGTACAGACCAGCAAAGCCCAGCCCCTAATTGCAATGAGGTGCACCTGGAGACAAATAGATACAGCTGGGTTAATTAAGACATGTCACATAACATAAATACCAGGTGTATTAGGTCAGGTTACCATCAGTTTCATCTTATCTGCTACTACCACGCTTGTACCTGGCATCATGTTCAGACTGACGGTGGTCACCTGTGAGTATACAACATCTGTATATGATGCAGGTTAGAATATATATGACCTAATGTTTGACTTTGTATTTCAGAGGTTTTGAAGTATGTGTTAGATGATTTGAGGTCTACAGTATAATGCATTCTTAAAGTTCAGTATTTCCATAATTTGACAGTACAGCAGGAAATGTAGAGGGAGACTGATAGTATGGGAATAGACATTTGACAGGGCTTGAATGTTTCATGAGATGATGGTAGAACTCTTTATTGGAGGGTATTTTAATACATATCTGTTTAACCGTCTAGAAACAAAACCACTGTATCTAGAGCCCCCTTGTGAATGGGTCAAAAGTGTTAGGACACTTGCCTATAGTATATTACAGTAGTCCAAAGATTAGTATTTGGTCCTATATTCCAGGCACACAATGACAACATCAAACATGTGACTCTACAAGGTATTTTGGCTGCGTTTGCAGTGTGTTTTGGTGTATGTTTTGCCCAATAGTGACTGGAGTTATTATCTTTCTAGATGTTTCTGAACACTTTTAAATTAATGCCATGATTAAGAAAGCATGAGTGAGACAGGCTACAAGGGCACATGTCAACCCCTCACATTATCAAGAACTGGGGAGGTTAGTATTTTTATGGGGTATAGTCTTTGTTCCTTTAACTTCCTCACACATCACTATTAATTCAAGGTAGCATCCGCATGTATGTAGACGTGTTGAGAAGTATTTTAATCTTCAAAATGACAACCTTAACCATTCAGTTCCTTTTAGGCAAAAAAGTATCTATAACCAACTACAAATGCGTCTAACAAGTTTAGTCACACTGCATGCATGGAATATGAGACCAAATGCTAAACTTTACTACTTAATTAACACTAGAATATCTCAAATGCTTGAGGATGGAGACACATGCTCATTTCTAGCTTCACGGTCCAAATGCATATGATGTGGATTGTTGCTGAACTGGCTGTGTGTTGTTTCAGTGCTGGTTGCAGCTTCCTGTGCACTAACGGATGGAGGTACTGTGTGTAATAATGATGATACTACTACACCAAGCTAATGTGAGTGGTGTGTAACTCCTGTTTATTTGTCCTGGCAGCACGCAGCATCACATGTGAAGGCTCTGATGCTTTACTACAATGTGGTAAGCTAGTCAACACTACTGAACAGTGTATATACTCAGCTATCACCTGTGTTTTATACTGTAGATTACCTACACCAAAGATGCCCACCCTTGGCTCTCCTTCGTTCCTTATCTATCTTTTCGTTGTCCGTCTCTTCCTCAGATGGAGGTAAGATCCATATCGAGCGTGCCAACTATGGTCGTCGTCAACGCAACGTGTGTTCCATTGGGCGCCCCGCTAACCAACTCGCCAACACCAACTGCCTCAGAAAATCCACCACCAGGAAGATGGCAGCAAGGTACTGGAACCTGTGGTGTGTATTTACCTGTAGACACCCATTGGCTGCAGCCATAACCACTACCTGTCTTTGACACACAGGTGTGACGGGAAGAGCCAGTGTGTCGTCCCGGCATCCAATTCTGTTTTTGGAGACCCCTGTGTCGGAACCTTTAAGTACCTGGACACCGAATACTCCTGTGTCCAACAGCAAGTAGCAAGTCAGTCTTTGCTAATAATACTTGGTGGTGGGCACCAATATCGTTAAATTGAATATCTGTATGACTGAGGCATGTTGGGATATTGTTTAATACTTCGGTGAAAGAGCGCACTCTGCTGATGGCTAGCAAAGCCATAGAATGGGTTGGGTCACCAATGGGACCAGCTTGTGAACTTTGTTTTATGGCCACCATGTGTTTTAATACATGCCCTTTTCTATTCTCCACTTTTACACCACCCTCAATTCCTAACTAACCCTAGCTAGCCCACAAACGGTGGTTATGGAACAAAGTAGCTGGCAACAACTTTCGCTAGCATAGCTTATTGGGAGATCAGAGAACTGGCAGTGTGGCGCCAGAATGACAACCTCTCACTTAACGTCGACGAAGATGATTGTGGACTACAGGAAACAGAGGGCCGACCACGCCCCCATTTTCATCGACTGTGCTGTAGTGGAGCATTTTGTGAGCTTCAATGTCCGCATCACTAAGAATCCATCATGGTCCATGCACCAGTAGTAGTATTAAGTGCACGACAATGCCTCTTCTCCAACCTGCCCAGGAGGCTAAAAATATTTGGTATTGGCCCTCCGATCCTCAGTTCTACAGCTGCACCATTGTGAGCATTTTGACTGGCTGTATCACCACTAGGTATGGCAACTGCTTGGCATCCGACCGCAAGGCGCTACAGAGGGCAGTGAATACAGCCCAGTAAATCACTGAGGCCACGCTCCCTGCCATCAGGACCTCCTATACCATGCGTTGTCGGAAGGCCCTACATTTTCAATGACTCCATCCACCCAAGTCCTACTGTCTGCTACTGCATGGCAAGTGGTACCGCGGCACCAAGTCTGGAACCAGCAGTCTTCTACCCCTCCCCCCCACTCCCAGTCACTTTATTTCTAGTTATATGTACATATCTAACTCAATTAGCCAGTTAGCACATGGTAAGAAGGATGGGTAGTCGTACCACACAGGTCTCCTTTACATTGTGGCTTAGTTGATGCTTGCGCGCACTTAATCTTGTGTAACAGTGAACATCTGTTTCAGCCAACGTTAGCTAGCTCAAATCTCGTTTATAGCTATTCAGACGGCACAGGCACAAATTGTATAGAAATATAGCTCTGGTCTAGCGGTACGACTAGCTAAACCAGCTTACTTTCACATTCTGAGCAGTTTGAGATGACGACGTCTCATAAGGAGCTTAAACCACAGTGTAACGGTTGAAGATAATGCATTTAACTTTCTACAACTCTGTTTATGCCTAAACATTAATTAATCAACGTTCCCTATTAGTGCCCATCACTAACACTTCACCAAGCCATAGTATGCCTTTATTTGTCAGGCCAGTGTGGTGTAACTCCTGTTTTGTCCTTGCAGTAAGCAGCATCATATGTGAAGGATCTGATTCTCAACTACAATGTGGTAAGCAGGTCAACACTACAGTACGGTATCCTCTCCGCTCTCATGTGGTGTTGTGTATATTAGTCTCTAGCCCACACAAACACCCAGCCTTGGCCTTCTGCCTTTTCTTCATCTATCTCTTCCTCCTCCTCGTCTCCCTCAGATCGAGGTAAGATCCATATCCAGAGTGCCAACTATGGTCGTCGTCAACGCAACGTGTGTTCCATTGGGCGCCCCGATAACCAACTCACCAACACCAACTGCCTCAGCCAATCCACCACCAGTAAGATGGCAGAAAGGTACGGTAACCAACGGTGTGTATTTACCTGTACACTCATTGGCTGTAATTTTAACCTCTACTTGTATTTTAAACACACAGGTGTGATGGGAAGAGCCAGTGTGTCGTCCAGGCATCCAACTCCGTGTTTGGAGACCCCTGTGTCGGAACCTATAAGTACCTGGAGGTGGCTTACACCTGTGACTAAATGTGAGTTATATACATGCTCGCACACATGACTGGGAACTTGAATGCTGGTGCTGACTGTTTGTCTTGCAGGATATCTTCCCTGATGAACCTAAAGGCTTCTGGGATTTCTTCATCGAGTGGATCAGTTTATTTTCCTCCAACCCCCAAAATCAACTTCAAATCATTGTAAACCTGTGCCTTTTGTGCAAAAGCGTTTCTTAAACAATTCTGAACTGTGGTGGTTGGTCTGAATTAAACTAAGCAGCATGAATCCAAGACTTGGTGTCTTTAGTTCTATATTACTAAATGTCTACTGTCACACCAATATTACTGAACATGTGTCCTGTATTCTCGCTTACACTGTTCACTGAAGACCCATTTACACCTGGCGCTATCATGTGTTCTTTGTCTTGACGTCCATATTCTCTGCCCACAGTTGTAGACTAGTAAAATACTCATTGTGATCAGATCTATAATAATAATAATAATAATAATAATAATAATAATAATTGGTCATTTAGCAGACGCTCTTATCCAGAGCGACTTACAGGAGCAAATAGGGTTAAGTGCCTTGCTCAAGGGCACATCGACAGATTTTTCACCTAGTCGGCTCGGGGATTAGAACCAGCGACCTTTCGGTTACTGGCACAATGCTCTTAACCACTAAGCTACCTGCCGCCCCAGATCTTCCTGACCACCTCCGGCTGTAGTCAAGCACGCATTTTGTCTGGATCTCAATCAAGTATGAACTGATCTGGACGGTCAAATCAATTATACCTGCCTCTAAAATCATTGGCAGGTAGCACCAGTGACTTATGACCTTAGTAGTCCTAATGGTCTTTATCATATTAAATTGACAGTCATTGCCACACGGCACCAAATATTCTGGTCACAATGTGGACACTGACGGCTAAGAAGTTTTAATACAGTGTGTAGACTTGATGAGGTCGTGAAACAAATGTTAGCGTGCGGTGTATAATGAAGCTTTTGTTGGGGTTGAGCACAGCACCACAACGACAGTCCCACAGGACATATTAATTATGGTATAATAGACAAAGCTGCACTACGCAGATCACGCCACCATTTCCTGGTTGCTGTAATTCTGGTTTGCCTAATTTCAGTTTTACAAAACAAGTATTGTGTTGTACCCTCTAAACCGCTGTGAAATACATTTTCATAACAAATACCAGTATATTCAGCTCTTTGACGCCAGTGTTCAAAACTGTAGAAATGGTGAAAAACAGATGTACTGCTTTGAATGAGGGACAGATCTACTACATATTTCTGTGAATTTGGTCGACTATCTGCAGACTGCGTTTGCTACATGCCACGCCCACTACATGTTACAAGTATTACAAGCTGCGCTCTCTAACCTTGAGGTTGCTAGCTAGCTAGGACACTGGCATTGTCCTGCTTTTCCGCAGTTATTTTAACGTTAAGGCGAGGATAATCACCACCCGGTAGTGCCACGTGAGCGTTGGGTTGATTACATTAGCTATCTACTTCCTCACCATAATGTTTTATGAAACTGCAGCAAAGCAGTGCTCTGCAGGCAGGGGCAAAGGACACTGTACCTGTGTCCCTTTTGGTTTTTCAGCAGATGGCATCCAATATTGGTAGTTGCAGAAATGTGTGGGACAGTGCCAGAGATACTTTTGAAGAGATGTGCAACTCCATTGTAATCGTATTAACACCCATTCTATATGTTGCCCATGTGTCGTCAATGGTCTGCGCAGTGCATGCTGGGTGATTCTGGAACAAGGAGGGTTCTCCAAGGAGTGAATAGGAGTCAATTGGGCGCTAGTTCAAAAACCCAACATTAGCATGAATTTTGTGAACAAGAAGTACATTGCAACTGTAATCCGAGATGTTCAATAGTATCGTACAGATTTAGAAATGTTACATTACGTACTCTCGAGGAAAATAGGCAGGTTTCTGGACTTTGAGAAGGGATTACGTGATTAGTTTAGCAACCGTGTGACGCAACATGACAAGGTGAATGTGATTAGTCTACAGTGTGCTGGGTGGGGTGTTAGACCTTTCTCCATTCATTGCCCAATTGGATTCCTATCTCCTCCTTTCTATATCTCTGACAGCGCTAGGAGCCTCAATACAAATGTTCCCAAAATATCACTGCCGTGTATCCTGCCCATCAAGAGGATCCAGCGTGCTAGACCATGTAGGAGCAAACATCCATGACAAGTACAAAGCCGTCCCCACTTCGGCCAATCAGATCACGTCTCTGTTCCTACAAGCAGCAACTCAAGAGGGAGCCACCAGCACAGTGAATAGTGAGGCACTGGACAGATGCAGGCTCAATGCTGCAGGATTGTTTGGAGAATACCCATCAACATTAAGGAATATACATTGCCAGTCACAGGCTTCATTAGGAAATGTGTTGATATACCCACAATAATAATTAGGACGTAGCCCAACCAAAAACCCTGGATGAACGTAGATATCTGTACAATGCTGAGAGGCCGTTCTGCAGCATTCAATGTCTGCAGAATGAACCACAATGTCTTGGTGGTGTTGAACGCGTACAAGGCAAGCAGGTACGAGCTCCTCAAAACCATTAGGGATGCAAGAAGACAATACAGACTCAAACTTGAATTGATGTTTGACAATAGACTTGCGTCGCATGTGGCAAGGACTACAGACTATCACAGACTGCAAAGGCCAATCCAGCTGTGCGATGCCCACCAAAACCTCCCGATCAGAAGAGCTTAACACATTCTATGCTCGCTTCGAAGCAGACAATACCAAGTCAACCAGGAAGACTCTTGCTGCTTCGGACAACCAGGTGCTTTCACTCTCCGAGTCAGACGTGAAGAAAATCTCAAGACCGAACACTCACAAAACCGCCGACCCAGATGGCATCCCTGGCTGCATCCTCAGAGTGTGTGCTGACCAGCTGGCGGGCATCTTCTCGGACATCTTCAACCTGTACCTGTCCCAGGCGGTAGTCCCCACCTGCTTTAATGAGACACTGACTCAACAGAGGTGACCCCCAGGGGTGTGTCCTCAGTCCTCTGCTGTACTCCCTGTTTACCCATGACTGCGTGGCTTTGCACAACACCAACTCCATCAAGATTGCTGACGACACCACGGTTGTAGGCCTGATAACCAACAATGATGAGTCAGCCTATAGGGAGCAGCTATGTGTACTGGCATTGTAGTGTCATGAGAACAACCTCTCCCTCAACGTCAGCAAAAGAAAGGAGTTGATTGTTCACTTCAGGAAGCAGAGGGAACATACCCCGATCCACATCAACGGGACTGCAGTAGAGAGAGTCACGAGTTTTAAGTTCCTTGGCGTCCACATCGCTGTGAATTTGTCATGGACCAACATGACAACAGCGTCTCTAATTCCTAAGGTGGCTGAAGAAATTTTGCATGCTGCCTCGGGTCCAGTACTACCGCTGCACTATCGAGAGCGTCCCGACCGGTTGCATCATGGACTGGTATGGGAATTACTCCGTCCTGCGGGTGGTGAAGATGGGTTGGGACCGTGCTCCAACCAATCTAGGACATCTACTGCCTGAGGAAGGCACGTAGCATTATCATGGACCCCACACACCCCAGCCACGAACTCATCTATCCCATACCGTCGGGCAGACCGTATCAGAGCATGAAATCTGATACCAACATGCTTCGAGACAGTTTCTATATACATCAGACTTGAACTGGACTGGCCACCTTCTCTGATTCTCCGTACCATAGCACACATGCACACACCCACACAGACATACACGCAAACACACACACACACACACACACATACATTCATGCTACACACATCACAACTGCTGCTACCAGACACTTAATATACTGCTCAATTTTATACACTTGTCACCATCTTCAACATTTCTGCCGAGATTGCCGCCAGCATTTTTCCAAAGAGCACAATGATATTACCTATTGACTGACTGTTGTCCTTCAAATCCCCCAACAATGCAGGTCTAACCACACGCTGATATTATATAAAAAAACAAGTCAAAATAGATGCTCTATTGATTCGCTTTCCGCTGTTGATACCCCATATACTGAGCATTATTTTTGTAGTGAGAATTTTATAAAATAACTTAAATTGAAAATAACTAATTCATGCATCAATTGTTTTGTATATCAGTTCATAAACCCGTTGCAATGGTATTGGGACATCGAAAATCTGTTCCCAGCTATCTTGAATTTTATGTGGCATAGTCGTCAACCCTCTTGACGTTAAGTGGAACTGATACATTTTCAGATTTATATTAGTCATTTTAAGCCATTTATGATGTTTTATTGGTGGCAGAAAAACAAATTCATTCTTTAAGTAATTGCCTTTTCCCTTATTGTGGCAGAGCTGCGATGAGTTGGTTATCATTTTGCATTGGTTATAATTCTGTATTGAGCATACATCTCCACACAGACTTAAATGTCTTACCTGTGATTAAATGTTTTCCACACACACTTACATGTTGCTTACTTGGACACTGGGTCGCCAGAATTTCCCGCTCTCCCGCGCCGAATAGCCTGAAGCCATAGGATGCTTCTCGCAGGCTCTATCTCTTACCAGGGAGCATTGCAAACCATAGGTCGGGATATTTCACCTGTTTACATGTATATTGAACACAGCAGCTTTTCAGCATGTTTTGTGTGTACAGAGTCCCCATAGACCTGTTTATAACAAGATGCAGTGATTCTTTAAAGGTCAGGACACATCGATATGATAATAAAGTGAGGGAAAAAAGTATTTGATCCCCTGCTGATTTTGTACGTTTGCCCACTGACAAAGAAATGATCAGTCTATCATTTTAATGGTAGGTTTATTTGAACAGTGAGAGACAGAATAACAACAAAAAAATCCAGAAAAACGCATGTCAAAAATGTTATAAATTGATTTGCATTTTAATGAGGGAAATAAGTATTTGACCCCCTCTCATTCAGAAAGATTTCTGGCTCCCAGGTGTCTTTTATACAGGTAACGAACTGAGATTAGGAGCACACTCTTAAAGGGAGTGCTCCTAATCTCAG